TGGGTGGGTGAGTGCGTGGGTAGGTGGGTGGGTGAGTAGGTGGGTGAGTGGGTAGGTGGGTGGGTAAGTGGGTAGGTGGGTGGGTAAGTGGGTAGGTGGGTGGGTGAGTGGGTGGGTGAGTGGGTGGGTAGATGAGTGGGTAGGTGGGTGAGTGGGTGGGTGAGTGGGTAGGTGGGTGGGTAAGTGGGTAGGTGGGTGGGTGAGTGGGTAGGTGGATGGGTGAGTGGATGAGTGGGTAGGTGGGTGAGTGGTGGGTGGAAGAGTGGGTAGGTGGATGAGTGGGTAGGTGGGTGAGTGAGTGGGTGGGTGGATGAGTTGGTAAGTGGGTGGGTAAGTGGATGAGTGGGTCGGTAGGTGGGTGAGTGAGTGGGTGAGTGAGTGGGTGGGTGAGTGGGTGGGTGAGTGGGTATGTGGCTATGTGGGCGGGTGGGTAATTGGATGGGTGGGTAATTGGATGGTTGGGTGAGTGGGTAGGTGAATGAGTGGATGAGTGGGTGAGTGGATGAGTGACTATATGGGTGGGTGAATGGGTGGGTGGATGAGTGGGTGGGTAAATGAGTGGATGAGTGGGAGGGTGGATGAGTTGGTAAGTGGGTAGGTGAGTGGATGAGTGACTAAATGGGTGGGTGAGTGAGTGGTTGGGTGAATGAGCGCATCCGCAGGTCAGGAACTCTCAGATAAAACAATGGAACGGCCCTGTATCACTGAACAACGGACGGACCACCTCATGGTCGCTCTTCATAGACCAGACGTAAGACGAATAGGGCCGTTACTTTAAGAGGTTTACCGGTGCTGTCCAAAAGTTTGGGGGGGGGGGGGTACTAACCCCCCCTGCCCCCCCTCCTCCTTCTTGGCCATATTTCCAATCCAGTGGGGTCACCGCTGCGGAATGGGGGAGGGAGAATGGGAGAGAGGGGTGGGGGGCGGTTAATGAGCCGCTTGCCCTAATTACCAACGCAATCACCCCCACATCCGCTCACGTTCCGCGTCAGTTTCCTGCGAAGTCGTAAAAACGCAGCGATCAAAGGGGGAGGCAAATGAAGGAGGAGGGGGAGGGGGCGAGGGGGGAGCATATGGGAGGGAGGAGTTGGAGAAGGTCGGGGAACACAAAGACAAAGATCCCCGGATAGCCTTAACAGACTGTTGGGGCAAGTGCTGTCAGCGAGCAACAACGAAGGCCGGTGTTGGCACACGAGGTAGGGGGATAGCCAGGACCACGCCCGGCCGCCTTTGTCTCCCCACTGGGCTATGTTTAACACATCTCAACATGTACTCATTTGAGGCTGAGTCGACCTCGGGGAAGCCCGGCACCGATTAAGATATTCGTTGCTCTTCATAGAGCAGAAGACGCAAGACGAAGTGAGCTGTTTTATTTATGAGGTTTTCCGGTTCTGTCAGCCGGAGTCGAACTCGGATCGCGTATTGCGTGCGTTAACCACGACCCTACTGCCAACATCAGCAGCACACACACACCCACACACACACCCACACACGCCCACACGCACCCACACGCACACACCCACGCACACACACCCACACACACCCACCCACACACCCACACACCCACACACACACACCCACACACCCTCACACACACACCCCCACACACGCGCCCACACACACCCACGCACACACACGCACGCACACACACACACCCACACACACACACCCACACACCCTCACACATACACACACACACCCACACACACACGCACACACACACACACACACCCACACCGCATTTCACCTCCGGCAGAACTCAATTCCCGAACAGTAATGCCACCAATGTCAACGTCGTGTATATAAATGTTACATCTATTCCACCCGCAAATCGATTCCACGGTAAATCGATATGGAACTAGCTCAACCAACCCCTCCCCCCGTCCTTCCCCCTCCCCCCGTTCACCCCCCTCCCCTCCCTGTGGTCCGGTGAAGTTCTGGGTCGTGGCCATTCGCGCTTGGCGGAGGGAGTTGCTGTGTTTGACTTCATTCGCGTGTAATGTTTACCGATATCTCGAATAAACAACGGGGAGAATCCAGCAGGCAACAACCAATCAAAACCACGATCGCGCCTCGAAAAAATCTGTCTAATCGCCACCGGAAATTCGTTTATTTAAATGACGTCACCCCCATCCCGCCCCCCCTCCCCCCTGAAACCTCCAGAAAGCTCTTATGTAACATCTGCACACACTCACACACCTTGACTGAGGCCCAACATTTATAAGTAAGAGGGAGAGAGGGGACATCGCGTGCGACTAATGGTGGCGCTCGAACGACGGCGGCCACGTGCGCGAGACGGACAAGAGCACGTGACCAATGACGTCACTGCAGCGTTATGTTGACGCGCGCTTGCCCGGGATTTTGATGCGTGTGTCTGTGTGTGATGCGATATTTATATTGAATGCGTATGTCGCGTGTGTTGTATGATGCGTGTGATATGCAGCACAGTAATTCCTCAATTCACGCGGTAGGTGGGTTCCTGAAAGTGCCGCGTTTAGGGAATACCACATTCAGCGAAAACTATTTCCCCGTAAATAATGTTAACGATAAAGTTTGACGAGGCACGCGCAGTAAGATCACGGGACAAATAACTGAGGGTATGCTGCTGCGTCACTGTATCATTCCACGTATTGCATCATACTACGCAGTTGTGTGAAAAGTGTCGCCCCTAATCGAGAACCGCGTTATAGCGAAAACGCGCTGTGTGAACGCGTGCTAAGCGAGGACTTACCGCACCTACACGTGATGCCTATGACGTATGCGATGTCATTTCGGTGACGCCAGGTTACTCTTGCAGATGAGACTCTGATCACGTTCTCCTGAATGATCACCCCGGTCACACAAAATAAACTTGGAACTTGATGTGTGTGTGTGTCTTGTGTCTTGTGTGATACGTATACGAACATAGAGTGTGTGATGTGTGTGCGCGTGCTTGATATGAGTGTGTGATTAAAGTGATTCGCATGTGATATATGTACACGTATGTTTATTGTACGTATGCTGAACTTCTTTCGCACCGTACGGCTACGTATACAGGTAGTCCCCGAGTTACGATATTTCGATCTTACGATGGCGATACGACAAAATTGCCATCAACAACCTAACATCGTTCAAGTGTGCAGACGACGGACAGAATCTTGGTGAGTGCAGTACAATGTGATACGTTACGATACGTTCAATGCATGTATGATACGTAGCTTTAGCGAATTCATTTTAAGGTTACCACGATACGATACGTTCAATGAATGTTAAAAGTTTTTTTAGCCGATAGGATTGTTTCCTGAACAATCCATATAGGTAGGCTAAGAATTTACCCTGTTTTTTTACTTTACATTTTACTGTGCAATACAGTATTGTAATTAATACATAGGGTATCTATATATATAAAATCGCAAATCTGTCTGTCTATCTGTCTGTCTGTGTGTGTGTCTGTGTATCGGACCATACGCAGTTTCATTGGACGAAATGTCAGGGATTTGCGAGACACGATTGGTCCGGCGGTTGCCCCTGGCAATGGGTACCGACGCATTTGCCGCGGGGTGGACGCCATTTTTAATTCCCGTTAAAAATAGGCGCACGCATTAACACGCGACTCTGAGGTAAATTCATCAAAGTTTTACGTCCTCTTCACTCCCCCCCACCACAATGTGTGCAATTACTATTATAGGGTCGGTACATTATAAAATTATAGCGATTAGACAGTATTATTGTAGCGCGGGGGGGGGGGGGGGAACGGCACCCGTACCGAGCCTCAGCCGGGTGGGCAATTTTGCCGAGGCCAGAGGCTCTGCACGGTACTAGGCCTCGACACCCACCACGCGACTCTGAGGTAAATTCATCAAACTTTCACGTCCTCTTCACTCCCCCACCACCCCAATGTGTGCAATTACTATTATAGGGTCGGTAGATAATAAAATTATAGCGATTACACAGTATTATTGTAGCGCGGGGGGGGGGTAACGGCCCCGGTACCCAGCCTCAGCCGGGTGGGCAATTTAGGCGAGGCCGGAGGCTCTGCACGCTACTAGGCCTCGACACACCACCAAACTATAGGCCGTACATACTACTGCACAGCGGCCGAGGAGATCGTGGCTGGGGGGGGGGGAGCAGGGGTAGCAGCCCATCTGTGTATATATGTAAGGTTATTAAGAAATATATTTTTCACCCGGGCAACGCCGGGTACTTCTGCTAGTATAGTTTATACAGTACGGTACTGTAAATTGCTCTGTTTTGCTAAATCATCACCATTCTTGAAGACTCCTGGGTAGGCTAGGCCATCTTCGACTTACGATATTTTTGACTTACGAGGTGGTCGTCGTAACGCATCTCTATCGTAAGTAGAGGACTGCCTGTATACGTAACGTGAGATATGTGTTGTGTATACAATCTATCTGATGTTTGCGTGCGATGAACGTGATGTGTGTGTGTGATGGAAACGTGATTTGTGTATGTCACGCATGGGCGTGATGTGTGTGTGATGTATGTGGTGCGTGTGTGATGTATCCGTAATGTGTATGTGATGTATGTGTGTTGTGTATGTGCGTATGATGATGTATGCGTGATGTGTGTAAGTGATATATGTGATGTGATGGATGTGATGCTTGTGTGATGTATGTGGTGATGTGCGCGTAGTGGGAGCGGTGGTGCAGTGGTTAGCGCTACGCTGCGCTATGGACCTGGCGACCAACACCGGTGACGATCATCTGAACCGGTCCAGGGCCTCCCCTAGGTCGACTCAGCCTCAAATGAGTACCTAGTGCGGTGTGTAGTAAACATCGCCACTGGGGAGACAAAGGCGGTCGGGCGTGGTGCTGGCCACCCACCCCCTCGCGTACAATTCCGGTCTTCATAGGTGCTCGCCAACAGCACTTGCCCCAACAATCTTTGTCTTTGTAGATGTGGTGATGGATGTGATGCCGGCACGTTACGCGTCGCATCTCCCCCCCCCCCATTCGCCCCCCACAACCTCCCCCTAATCAATTAGTGCTCATGGAGTCGGGATGCACCTCCGCATTCATCAGTGTGACACCACCACCACCACTACCACCACTACCACCACCACCACCACCACTACTACCACCACCACTACCACCACCACTACCACCACCACCACCACTACCACCACCACCACCACTACCACCACTACCACCACCACTACCACCACCACCACTACCACCACCACCACTACCACCACCACCACTACCACCACCACCACTACCACCACCACCACCACTACCACCACCACCACCACTACCACCACCACTACCACCACCACCACCACTACCACCACTACCACCACCACCACCACTACCACTACCACCACCACCACTACCACCACAACTACCACCACTACCACCACCACCACCACTACCACCACTACCACCACCACCACCACTACCACCACCACCACTACCACCACCACCACTACCACCACCACCACTACCACCACCACCACTACCACCACCACTACCATCACCACCACCACTACCACCACCACCACTACCACCACCACCACCACTACCACCACCACCACTACCACCACTACCACCACCACTACCACCACCACTACCACCACCACTACCACCACTACCACCACCACTACTACCACCACCACCAGCTCACAGTTAATGACTTCAAGGAAACGCGAACGCGTAGCTCGTGTCTCCAGGTGTCTCCACGTGTCTCTCGTGTCTACACGTGTCTCCACGTGTCTCCACGTGTCTCTGTGTGTCTCCACGTGTCTCCACGTGTCTCTCAGTGTCTCTCAGTGTCTCCACGTGTCTCTCGTGTCTCCACGTGTCTCCACGTGTCTCTCGTGTCTACACGTGTCTCCACGTGTCTCCTCGTGTCTCCACGTGTCTCCACGTGTCTCTCAGTGTCTCCACGTGTCTCTCGTGTCTCAACGTGTTTTCTCGTGTCTCCACGTGTCTCCACGTGTCTCCACGTGTCTCCTCCTGTCTCCTCGTGTCTCCACGTGTCTCTCGTGTCTACACGTGTCTCCTCGTGTCTCCACGTGTCTCCGCGTGTCTCCACGTGTCTTCTCCTGTCTCCTCGTGTCTCCTGGTGTCTCCACGTGTCTCTCGTGACTACACGTGTCTCTCGTGTCTCCACGTGTCTCCACGTGTCTCCACGTGTCTCCACGTGTCTCCACGTGTCTCCACGTGTCTCTCAGTGTCTCTCAGTGTCTCCACGTGTCTCTAGTGTCTCAACGTGTCTCCACGTGTCTCTAGTGTCTCAACGTGTCTCCTCGTGTCTCCACGTGTCTCCACGTGTCTCCTCGTGTCTCCACGTGTCTCTTGTGTCTACACGTGTCTCCTCGTGTCTCCACGTGTCTCCTCGTGTCTCCACGTGTCTCCTCCTGTCTCCTCGTGTCTCCTGGTGTCTCCACGTGTCTCCACTGAGTGGTGCTGGCTCCGGGTCCAAGGAAACTCGAAGAATGACGCTTATGGGGACCAAGTGGACCAAGACAAGCCCCCCCGCCCCCCAGGATTAATTAAGCAATTATGGAGTAAACCAAATTTCAGCTCGGATTAATATCATAATAAACTTTACTAGGCTAATCAATGTGAATTATATGATGATTATTGTTATCATCTAACTATCATCATCATCTCTCTTGGCTGTATCTCTCGTCTCTCGTCTTTGTCACCACCACCACCGACGGCAGAACCACCACGGACAAAGATAAACCCATGAACGACGACGACACCGCCATCAATAACATCGCCAACAACATCATTAACAAGATCACCACATCAACAACATCACCACCAACATCACCAACAACATCACCAACATCACCAACATCCACAACAACAACATCATCAACAACATCATGAACAAGATCACCAACAACATCACCAACATCACCAACAACATCACCAACATCCACAACAACATCTCCACCAACAACAACATCATCATTAACAACAACATCACCAACAACATCCACAATAACAACATCACCAACAACATCACGAACATCCACAACAACAACATCATGAACAAGATCACCAACAACATCACCGACATCACCAACAACAACATCATCATCATTAACAACAACATCACCAACAACATCCACAATAACAACATCACCAACAACATCACCAACATCACCAACAACAACATCATCAACATTAACAACAACATCACCAACAACATCCACAATAACAACATCATCAACAATATCACCAACATCACCACCAATATCACTAACATCATCACCAACAACAACAACAACATCACCAACAACAACATCACCAACAACAAAAACAATATCACCAACATCCCCAACAACATCACCAACAACAACATCACCAACAACAACAACACCAACAACAACATCACCAACAACAACATCACCAACAACATCACCAACAACAACATCACCATCAACAACAACATCACCAACAACATCACCAACAACAACATCACCAACAACATCCACACCAACAACATCCACACCAACAACATCACCAACAACAACATCACCAACAACAACATCACCAACAACATCAACAACAGCATCACCAACAACAACATCACCAACAACAACATCACCAACAACATCAACAACAACATCACCAACAACAACATCAACAACAACAACATCAACAACAACCGACACACCAGCACGTGGCCGCGCGAGCGCCACTGATTTATCGACTTCGCTGCTCGGCGCGCGCCCGGGATGGCGATGTTGGGGGCCGTCACGGCGCCGCGCGTGTGATTCATCACAAGCGCTTAACAACAACAACAACCACCACCACCACAACAACAATAAATACAATTAATTATTTAGCCAGGTAAGCCTCGCCAAAAAGGCTCTTCTACGATACGGGGATGTTTGGCCAATGGTACGTGGGAGAGAGTTGTGATGGGAGCGAGAGAGTCGTGATGGTGAACAGGAGCGGAACTCCTCCGCTCTGAGTTTCCCGGATTAAATAACTAAAATAACGAAACATTTATTTCTATTTTACAAGGTAAGTTCCCACTGAACTACGTAGCTATTTTTTCACAAGCGACTTGGCGATCACAAATTAGAGCTGAACTGAGCGGCTGATCACGTGGAAATGTACAACAGCCAAATGCTCTAAGCGTGTATTGATCCTCAATGTGGAGGGAAAGACCGGAGAAAATTCCGCGGTGGAGAGATGTTAACTCCTTTGCCTGGTATACAGGAGATCGTGGGTTCGACTCAGACCCTGACGCCTGCTATATATTTGGAGTCTGCGTGTCTTTCTCCTAATGGTCGCGTAGATTTTTCTCCGGGTCCTCCGGGTTTTCCCCTCCACATTTAGAATCATCATCACGCGTTGAGAGTTTTTGGCTGCTATACTTATCCACGTGATAATACGTCACTTCGCCTAAGCTATCGTTTGTGGCCAGGCCACTTATGAAAAAGAGCGACATGGATCAGTGGCGCCTTACCTGGTAAAAAAAAAATAACGTTTTAGTTCAACTCGTGGTCTTAGCCACCTTGACGCAGACACTCAGACCCTGACCACAGCCCTAACCCTGGCCGAACTCTAACCTAACCCAGGCGTGACCTTGAACGTAACCCTGCCTGACCCTTTGACCCCTGACCTTCGGGCGCGTCTCCCGGGGCTCGCCTCTGCTCGGCCAGGGAGACGCAGCGAGCTGGAAGTGGAACGCCATCGTGGGACGGGAGCGATGTACTGCGTCTCGAGACGGCGAGATCAGTAGCAGCATCAGCAGCATCCTAATCAGCAGCAGCAGCATTATCATCATCAGCAGCAGCAGCCGCACCGACGTCACGGTGATGATGATCATGATGCTAATGATGATCATCACCATCTTCCCCCTCCTCCTCCTCTCATTACATCTCTTCCTCGTTCGACTCCACATCTACCATCACCATCATCATCAGAATCTTTATTTGGATTGGAGGAATCCGATGAGCTATGAAGCTCTATTTAACAGACGTTCAGTAGGCGCGGTGAGGAAAGTTACATCATCGCCATCATTTTCTGCTATCGTCCTCTAGAACGCGTACTTCTTTGCACACACTCATCTCCTCCTCGACAACATCATCCCTCACCTCCACCTCCTCCATCACCTCCTCCTCACGCCCACACCTCTCTTCACAGTGGTGCCTGTGTGTATCTGGGCCTCTCTCCTCGCCCCGGCTCTCCCTCGCATCCGCGCCCGTTTCCGGGTTAATTAATCGCGAGGCTGCGCGCGCGCACCGCGTGATGGATCGCTTCCGACTCCAACGAGTGCTCTGCGCGCCGGCGCGCCTCAAGTCTCGGGGCTGTGAGTCTAGGAGCTGTGAGTCTAGGAGCTGTGAGTCTAGGAGCTGTGAGTCTAGGAGCTGTGAGTCTCGGAGCTGTGAGTCTCGGAGCTGTGAGTCTCGGAGCTGTGAGTCTCGGAGCTGTGAGTCTCGGAGCTGTGAGTCTCGGAGCTGTGAGTCTCGGAGCTGTGAGTCTCGGAGCTGTGAGTCTCGGAGCTGTGAGTCTAGGAGCTGTGAGTCTCGGAGCTGTGAGTCTCGGAGCTGTGAGTCTCGGAGCTGTGAGTCTCGGAGCTGTGAGTCTAGGAGCTGTGAGTCTAGGAGCTGTGAGTCTCGGAGCTGTGAGTCTCGGAGCTGTGAGTCTAGGAGCTGTGAGTCTAGGAGCTGAGCTGTGGGTCTCAAGTCTAAGATCTGTGAGTCTAGGAGCTGTGAGTCTGGAGTCTAGGATCTGTGATTCTAGAGTCTAAGAGCTGGGAATCTATGAGCTGTGGGTCTCGGAGCTAGCTGTGAGTCTCAAGTCTAGGATCTGTGAGTCTCAAGTCTAGGATCTGTGAGTATGGAGTCTAAGATCTGTGAGCCTAGGATCTGTGAGTCTAGGAGCTGTGAGTCTCAAGTCCAGGATCTGTGAGTCTGGAGTCTCGGAGCTGTGAGTCTCAAGTCTAGGATCTGTGAGTCTAGGAGCTGTGAGTCTCAAGTTTGGGAGCTGCGAGTCTCAAGTCTAGGAGCTGTGAGTCTGGAGTCTGGGAGCTGCGAGTCTCAAGTCTAGGATCTGTGAGTCTCAAGTTTAGGAGCTGTGAGTCTCAAGTCTAGGAGCTGTGAGTCAATGAGCTGTGAGTCTCAAGTCTAAGATCTGTGAGTCTAGGAGCTGTGAGTCTGGAGTCTAGGATCTGTGATTCTAGAGTCTAAGAGCTGGGAATCTATGAGCTGTGGGTCTCGGAGCTAGCTGTGAGTCTCAAGTCTAGGATCTGTGAGTCTCAAGTCTAGGATCTGTGAGTATGGAGTCTAAGATCTGTGAGCCTAGGATCTGTGAGTCTAGGAGCTGTGAGTCTCAAGTCCAGGATCTGTGAGTCTGGAGTCTCGGAGCTGTGAGTCTCAAGTCTAGGATCTGTGAGTCTAGGAGCTGTGAGTCTCAAGTTTGGGAGCTGCGAGTCTCAAGTCTAGGAGCTGTGAGTCTGGAGTCTGGGAGCTGCGAGTCTCAAGTCCAGGATCTGTGAGTCTGGAGTCTGGGAGCTGCGAGTCTCGAGGGACAGAGCGCGCATTCACGGAGCGCACGACTCACCGCCTCCAGCCGCTGTCGCCCGCTTCCATTCTGAGCCCGAAACAGCAGCAACAGCGGTAGCAGCAGCAGCAACAGCGGTAGCAGCAGCAGC